GGCACAGGTAATGACAGCAGCAGGCTTGAAAAAATGACAGCAATATTTCCAAAGGAATAAAGAGAGACCGCAGTCCAGAGAAAATGATACTGTGAAAGCAGTTATCTATTTTGTTATTAAATATTTTACAAGCCTTTACCTTAATCCAGCTTTAAACAAAGATGATATGTAGATAACAAGCTAACAGTTCATTTTTCTAGGTGAACCTTAAAATTAGTTACTAGAATATGTAGAATACCAGGAATCCTAATAATAATAGCTAAATTATTATTAACAATAATAATAGCAACAACAACAGTAAAATCTCCAAAGCATCTGTCTAACTGCTACCACAGTATACCTCTGCTGAGCAATGTGGACCTGTTTAGGAGCTGCTGAAGTGGGAGTCTTTATGGAAGCACTGTCTTCCAGTAAGCAAGGTTAACTAGCAGAAGTTCCTCAACCCTTGCTATAGTAGAAAAAGTATCTGAACTCTGAGGATGTTCTAAGAATTTGAAACACCACCCACTTACTAAAATCCAGTCCTTTCTTTTCTTATGGTCTACCTCAGCTTTTTATGAAAAAGGTAGCTATCTAATACAAAGGGGGAAAATTCTCAGTTTTAGACTGTTAGCATCTGTTTGGAGATATTGAAGATTGATACAATTATCCTCAATAAAAGTATTATCAGTTTGTCAACAGTATTGGTGACTAAATGTCTCTCAAATATCTGGCTCAGTTTATTATGGAGGTTAATTCCCAAAATGTCTTAATCCCAATACCACTTATCAAAGGGGTGTCATGTATCCATAGGTATGTGGATGGAACGTGTAATTCAGGATGTGATAATGGATCCCGACATTGAAAATGCTGAATATTTTTCTCCTGTTTATCTTTAATATGTGCTTGTCATTGGCATTAGCTATCAAGTTATTCTAATTGGAGACAAAGTCCTAGCTTATGTGAATTCTTCTTACCACAAAAAGTCAACTCATTTATTCTATGCTAATTATAAAAGCTTATCAGTGCCTTTTCTTGGAAGCCTTATATTTCCTTTGTTAATTTTTCATTATTAATTCCACAGAGAATTCAACTGAACAAGTAAAAAATATTGAAAAAAACTTTCTCGTGGATCTGTTTTTTTCCTCTAGCTTCTTACACCATTTCATGATCCATCGTGACTCTTAATATTTTCATGGGAATAAGAGGAAAGGCAATGGCAAGCATCTAAGAAAACAAATGAACATGAGGACTTCCATTAGATACAAGCTAGTGAAAATGGGAATGGGTGAAAAATGCAAATAATTTGCTCTGCTTTTTTTCCAGAAGTATGATAAAACTAAGCAAAATTCTAGATCATTACTTTTTTATTCACTCCATACTCAAGCAAAATTTTTGCTGGGGTCTGTGTTGAGTCCTTCCTGAGTGAAATTTAGTTCTTAAATGAGAATACTGAAAGAAAAATAATTAATGGATAAACGAGTAAAAGTACTGAAGATTATGTCAATATGCTAACTATACACTTAAGTTCACACTGCTTGTTCATTTAAACACAAGTTAATACAGAATAAGGTCAGGGGAAACCATCCTGTATGCATCCCCAAAGATATCTGATACATCCAATGACAGCAGAGTCCTGTTTATTCAAAATACTCTTGGAACATCAAAACATTTGGATAAACAGGGCTTCAAATAATTGAGGGAGTTATTGTATAAGTAATTCACACCAGGGGGACATAACCTAGATTCAAAGGACTGAGTTTCAGATCAAAGGGGTACAGATAAATGGGATTTGGCTCTATATGAACAAATAAAATAAACAACATTTGATTATTCAGGAATCAAGAAGTGTCCAAACACTTTCTCAAAAACAGTTTAGGACAAAAGGTCAAAATTATTGCAATAGGCCATACAGAAGAATATTCCTATGGAATCAAAATAACATAACTAAATGAGACCAAAAAGATATGGGAGTTTGGGGGGCTGGGGGAGGGGAAGAGGAGAGAGGTAGTGTTTCTGTGCATGCATGTGTATGTTTCTTTGTTTTGTTTTGTTTTCTAATCTCACTGATCTTCTAGTCAGGATCATATGAACTTCACCAAGTTTTCTAATCTTATTCCAGCCGTGACATTCACACAACTTTTGTGACAGAAGGTGGGGATTTGTAACATCTCTGTCTCTGTAACTCATTTTCCCAAATGCCCAACAGAAACAAACTTCACGGTTTGTACACAAGTTTGGTCTTGGATGGACAATATTGTCTGATTGTTCATCTTTCTATTAATATCATGACCCAGATATGATTCAGCTACATACAGACATCATAATCTCCTTTTAAATGCCTTTTAAAATACAAATCTTGGAATTAAAAAAGATGTTGATCTATGCTGATATTCACTCTCTGCATTATTAATATGGTGGTGTGGATACTTTGCTAATTTATACAAATCAACAGTATTTTCCTTTTTCCAAAAGCTATGCTCACATTCCTGTACTTAAGTGTTGTCCCTTGCTGTCTGTGTAGGGGCCTTTTAACAGTGGGAGTGGTCAAACATTTATGGGGAGTGAAGGGTCTGAAAACATGACACATTTTGATTCCCCTCAGCCCCTGATTTCTGTAGCCAACAGCCCAGCAGGGAGAGCGCTTCTCCCCCCACGGTGCCTCAGCTTGAGCAACCCAATCCTGGCTCAGAAGCCATAGGGAAAGGAAGGCTTCTGAGTCATGCATGGGTGCCTCAAGTTTCAGAGTTATTTTTTTCAACCATGTCACAAGACATATCAGACTGTCCTGCTGAATCCATCCTGACATGTCTGGGCCTTGTGGTTGGGCTTTTGAGCCCACGGGTCTGTCAGTGCTGCAGGGGCCGAGTCCTGCACCACACCTGGGGCAGGTTTGTTTTGTACCAAGGGCACGTGGTGCCTTATCCCTTGGCCATGGGGCAGGTCTCATAGGCCTGTCAGCTGCCTGTTCAGCTACTGGTACTACTACCCTACTCTACACCTCTCCACAGGGATGCTCACACAGCCTTCCTCCTGCCCTCTGGCCCCTGATTTGCCACTTTGGGTGGCAAAAGCTGCCACATCACTGTGGCTGCCAGCAGGACCAGCTGCATCCTCTCTGGTCCCCTCCTCTGGTCCTGAGGCTCTCCCAGAGGCTGCAGGACAGAGGGGAGTGGAGCATGGCATGGGGACGTGCCATCCCGGTTGCTGGCATTGTTTTCCCCAACTTACTTCCTTCCATGGTGAGGGGCTGCAGGCTCAGGTGCATGAGGTGACACACCAGGGCTCTGAGGGGAGAATGTGTGGGGCAGCAAGGATGGGCTTGTGGTGAGGTGGGGGAAGAATAATGCTTAATGAAAGATATGGGGAAGGGAGCTTGGAGAAGTGGCAATTTGGAGTTTAGTAGCAAGGGGGAACACCTGTAGGGGCTGTAGGGGGCAGAGGGTGCCATTGGAAAGTCACAGAGGCAGTCCTCAGCATGGAAGGAGTCTTGGTGCTTGGTCACACAGGGTGAAGGGAGGGAGAAGCTGAGGAATGGAGATGGTTTGGGGTGTTCTGGAGTTTGCTGGCAGGTTGCTGCAGTGACACAGTCTGGAAGTCAGTAAAGGTAAACCATAAAGAGCAAAGCAGGGCTTTTCCTTTCAAAGCAAATGTTGGCGTTTTGTTTCCTGAGCAGACAGAAGGATACCTTGGAATTGGTTTAAGGTTTCAGTCTACTAGCCTGGTTTCTTCCTGCCTCCTCATCTTACTAACTCCTCTGCAACTTGGTAAGTAGAGTTGTGTTGTCTGTGGCACAGGTAAAGAGCCAATTTCTAGTTTTATTCCAAATTACAAGAGCACCTGCTGTCTGTAGATATAAGTATTAAAACAAAGTAAATTTCCGTCTTCAAAAAAATAAATAAATAAACCTGAAATAGTCTTCTCTCAGTGAGCAACAGATAAGGCTTGTTCAAGTTTTGCCCTCTCTTTACTCTCCCTTTTACAGGCTTGTTAAGACTTCCCTCTCTGACTTAAGAATGCTTGCGCTCTCTGTGGCTCAGCTGGAATCTGAATAGGAATATCTTGATGAGTTTTCAGTCTGGAGTGGAACAGGGAAAAGAAGGTAAAAATGGCACTTGCTAATGGTAATGGTTTCAGCTTGATAGCCCTGGAGTCTGGCTGAAACTGTACTGAATCCAGAAAATACATAGGCTTGTGCTGAACTGGAAGCAAATCTGCAGAATCTTTTCTTTCATCCAGCTCCTTAAGCTCTGAAGGTTAAAGACAGGCATAAGTACTTGGACAAGAACAGTAAAAGTTTTCTTACACTGCTAATATGAAGCCTGGGGATCTAGCAATCAGTCTTATTATCATTGAATCACTGGATTTTTGGTTGCGTTTCTAATTAAGAGAGTGGCCGTGCCAGTTTTGATCTGTTCATCTAAGGACCTGAAGTTTATTTGCTCCCATAAAATTCAAAAGCAGGTCTGTCACTGAGTTCACTGGTTACAGGACTGGCCCTATTATTTTTATCTTTTTTTTTCCTCTTCACCCTCCTCCTTCCCCCAAGGTTCTCTATAAAGGGTAAAACCCCCAAGAGATATAGGTCCTTCAGAATCAAACAGAATCAATGAATTTCCCAAGCTTATTTTCAGAAGTAGGTTTTTTTCCCCTTTCCTATTTCCTGCCACAGTCTCGCCTTTTCTTTAACAATCTGCAACTACAGCTGCATAGTGGAAAAGAATTCAGAAGTTAAAAAAAAAAAAAAAAGTGGATGTTTGGGTCTTAAAATAATATACACATTAAACTATATTTAATTGTGCCTTATCAATAGGCAGATGAACTTAGGTGTTTGCTGTTGCCATTGGTCCTGATGCTCTGTAGCAGGCAGAGGCAGCAACTGCTGCTGATGGAAAAGAAAAGGTAGTGGAAGGAGGAGGGGAGAAGAAGGTGGGAGACGAGGGATTGGCTGCTTTTAATGTCAGTCTCAGCTGCGGCCCCGGCTCTTCCGCTGCTCTAGCTCTGGCTCTCCCTTGAACAGCTCCCAGAGAGAACAAGGCGTGCGGAGCTCCGATCACCAGCATCATGCTCCTTGGGCTTGGATCGTAGATCCCCCTCTTTGAACATTAAAATAACTCTTTCGTCTTTCAGCGTCCCAAGCAGACCCAGAGAGAGAACACGCACGTGAGAGAGGAAAGAAAGAGGAGGAAGACGAAAATCTGCAACCAAGGGGACTAAAGCAGAGAAAAAGAGTGCTTTGCTTGCACAGCTGCAAAGTGGGAATTTAAAGAGCTGCAGAGAGAGAAATTCCAGCTCATCAGCACATACACATTGCAGAATTACAGATCCAGGTAGAAATGACATCAACAGGGAAAGAAGGCAGCGGAGCTCAACATGCACAATATGTTGGACCCTATCGTTTGGAGAAAACCCTAGGAAAAGGACAAACAGGTTGGTTCTTTTGCAGCAGCACCGGTGCTAGAGGGAAGGTGCTGTGGCAGCCAGTGAGGTGTCGGGGATGGGATATTTGAGGGTTCAGGTTTTCCCATTTGCTGTTTTAGTGCAGATAATATTCGTAAGGGATTTTTGTCTTTATTTATTTTTAGTTTTCATTTTAATTCTTTCTTTTTTCTTTTTTTAAAAAAGAAAAGAAAAAGCCCAGGATGCTTTATGTTCATTACTCCTGCTAATGGGTGTTGTTCTAATGACAGGCAGAGTGCATGCAGAGGAAAAAATAGATGATCTGCTGGTGGTGAATTTTCACATCCATTTCTTCACTGCCCTACTTAGGAGCATTTTCTTTTTAATCAAATTATATTGAAATTAAAGGTTCACAGCCTGTAGTACCGAGGAGGGGGTGGTGGTGGTAGTGGGGGAGTCACCAGCAGTATTTCATGACATCATGATTGAAAAGGGTGTAGTCCTTAAGGTGCAGTTGGGGGGGGGGGAGGTGGAAATACGTATGGTATGTCTCTGGCACTGACTGCTGTGGGTATTTAGCAAATATGGATGGATGGGCTAGTGGTTTTTGTGGGTAGAGTCTGAAATAAAGGAAAAATAGAGGATTGGTAGCAGAATTCATTCTGGTTATGCTGTGTTTTTGTAGGAGGGATTGGGAGGGGGGGAAGGGAGGTTATTTAATTATTTTTCTTAAAGCTTGTTTATGAAACTCGCCCCCAGCAGATTTTCCTGAATGGAACAATGGTAAGAAATATTAAAAAGAGGAAACGGAGTGGAGGGAATTAGCAGAGAGCAGGTGCCTCTGCCCTACATGACATAATTAGATCCCCTGAATGCGTTCAAGATCTGGACTTACTGTTGCTTACATGGATAGCATATTCACTTCAAGGGCAGGGGAGCATTAATTGGAAGAAAAACGTGCTTAAAATGAAGCCCAAATGTCTTCTTTTTTTTTTATTTTATTTTTTTTTTTTAGTAACAGGTGCAATAAGCAATGGCATCTGGCAAATTCATTGGGTTGGGAGCCCCCCAAAAGTGGATTGAGACTCGAGATTATTATTTAGGGAAGGGGTAAGATCAGCTATAGGGGGGCTTCTTTGGGCATGTGGGTGTTAAGTGTTGTTCATTATGGTGGGACAATAAAACATGATGCATTGTGGTGTATTTTTTTTTTTTTTATAACCCAGCCGAGCTTTGCCCATCTGTTGTCTAAAGGATTTAATAGGCGTTTCCAGCCCCAGCTGCTGCCTCTACTCTGCCTGCTTCCTCACTGCCCTGCGTGGCAGCAGCTCTGCAGTCCGCAATTTTCTTAGGGACACAGTCAAAATCCAGATCTTTCTCTGTAAGAAGCAATGCTCTTCTGAGATGATTGATTATAACCTCCCCCCCATCCTTCCCCTCCTCTTCACAACCCCATAGCAACCGTTCAGAGACATGGATGAAGATGACATTGTCTTCTAGTGGAAGTGACTTTTATTTATATTTTTTTTTTCCAAATCTCTTCAGTGTATCAGCTGCTAAAGGTAGTTCTCTGTCACTGTTTTAGGTACCACCTTTATTCTTGGCATAGCTCAGTAAGTCTTCTGCAGCTGTATTCTTACTAAAATCTGTTTTGATGATGATAACGAAAATACAAGAAAAATTGTGGTGTATTGTTAATAAAACTGCCCTATTTCTGCTGATATCCTTTCCTGGATACTCCAGGTGATCAAAGAGCTAGCTGTAGATGACAAATTCATTTTTGCCTTCATCACCATTTCCTTTTTTCTCTCCCTGTCTCACATTCTCAGCACCCCTCCCTCCCCTTTAAATACAATTGTGCTTGGGGTTCCTGAAAATACGGCTGCATTAACCTTTTGCTCCATGTTCTTATAGCCTGACGTTGTGGTCCTAAAGGGTTATCTGCAGCTTTGGTTATTTTTTTTCCTCTCTGCTAATCTTCCTATCTTCCTCCTAAGTGATTAGAGACGTGGGGGTGGAGGGAGAAGAACAGGATGTATTTAGAGGCTTGCTGCTGTTGGCCTCTGCAGTTATTCAGCCAGCTGGACAAGGGTGAAAGTTTCCTTTTGCAGTTTTACCGTATAACTGATCTTTATAGATAAGTCTCTGCTCTTTGCACACATGAATGCACATGAAATGCACAATGCATGGTGTCATAGAAGCTGGAGGTGGGGGGAAGAGGAAGAGAAATTTTAAAAGTAGCTGATGTCAGTCTATGTCTCTCTTGTTATACCCGCCCTTGATTAATGGAATAATGCACTGAGGTGAAATCTAACTCAGTATTAAACATACATGGCTAAATATGGAAATATGCCTCCTGGTCTTCTCGCATTTTCTGTGCTAATCCCATTTTGGAGCCTGCAGAACAGCATGAACAGTGTGTGGCATGTAGCTCATCTTCATCCTGCTTGTTTTGGAGGGTAAGCAGGCAACCTGCAGCATTTTAGGAAGAGGACAAGCAGTGCAGTATGAGGGCCTGATTTGCCATAGTATGTTGTCATAGTATGTTGTCATTTTTGCATTTGGGTTGCAGTGGCATACAGATGAAGAAAGTAGTGGTTGTGATCATTCCTTTGGAGCTTGACTTTAAAGCTTGAAAGATTAGGAGTCAATGGCTTGGAATATTTTTTTATCCCAAGGAGATGAGAAGAATGAGAGAGAAAATGTGGCAAAATGTAATGATGAATAGAAAGAAAGTATAAGTTGTGTTACACAGTACTGTCCATTTTGCAGTGATCTTCATATCCATCATTTTTATTTGGAATAAAAAATTATTGACTCTATACAGTTATTTCAGATAGGCAGATGTTTGCTCCCAGATACATTAGTATTATACAAATGTGTTAATCACTCTTACCTGCTTTTACTGAGATCAAAAGAAGAGGCTTTTGGGAAGGAGTGTGGGTTCATTCATAGTTCAGAGTAGACCTAGAAAGGGTGCCATGGAGGGAGAACTTAATGGTAAGTAGAGCTTTCACTGGCTTGCTTTCTGTGAAGTTCTCAGTGATTGCCACTTTAAAATCTGAAAAAAAGTGTTTACCAACAGCAGCCTGCTGGTCCCTGCAAAGACGTTGCGGTATCTGGGACTTCAGTGGAACCTGGTGACACTTGGCTATGGGTGGGCAAAACCGACAGGGAAAAGCCTTCTGTTCAAATTGGTGGGTAACAACCGAAATTGTTGGTTGATCAGATATGCAAAATTTGTCCTGAGCAGCCTTCTGGGCTGGTGCGTCACGCTTGCTGAGGGTGAGTGATGCCACAAAGAAGGGATTAGGGCCTCTTAGGCAGAGAAGTGGGAAGAGGGTTACATTGCTGCTAGTGGGAATGAAAATTATTTTTAATAATGCAGCACATAAATTTAATGTCTACTTTGAATACCGTAGCGAGATGGTTTGCTTTTGTAATAGGTTGAATTCAGAGCACCTCTTGTTGGTGGCAACTGAAGGAATAGCTCATGGAATCTTTATTTGAATGATTTCACAAGAACACAAGAAGCATCATAATCTTCATTATTCTACTCAAAAATTATTTTACAGAACTGTCAGTGTAAAAAAAATCACTGCTGTATAAATATGGGTGTGTGGGGAAAGGTCAGTTTATCTCAGTTTAATTGATACATTCTTTTACAGTTCATTATAGGAGGTTTTCACTGTAATTAACAGTAATGAGCAAAGGATGTGTGTCACATTATGATAACACATGTGGAAATAGTGTACCTTGAGAAGCCCCAGTCACACGTGATTGTGAAGCAGTGTTTTAGTTTTAGGCAAAATAGAGGCTTTTCTCCATTTGCCACTAATTTTATGTGAAATCAGCTTCTTGCATACTCCTTGCTTTATTTTTTGAGAATTGTACAGTTATCTCTGTTCATGTGTTTCTTTTAGCCTCATTAACCCCTATTTCACCCCTGAAACTCTCAACAGTAATTCAAATTGACTATAGTGAATACTTATTAATGAGTGCAAAGATGAGGAACTTGTGTTTCTTGTTAAGGTCTTCAGCATTTTGGAGGGCTTTCTTGTGTTTTTATTTGACAGTCACTGTATAGGCTTCAGCATCATTGTTTCCTGTAGCACCTGTTCAATGTGTAGTTGAAATTTCCAAAATGCTGCTTTGTCTACAAGCAATAAGACATTAGCTCTAAGCGGGAGTTACCCTACTGACTTTGAGATAAACTTCATGAAAAATGTAATGTTGCTTATCCATTTTATCTTGTTCCTTTCATTCTGTTTTAAGCCCGGTACAAAGAGTCCTGCCTGAAACTCACGGGACTTTGACCTTCTCAAAAAGTGTAGGGGTTCCCTTTTCTGCATTGTATCCTGTATAGTTTGCAGCTGTTTAGGTGTATAACATGTTAATTATATGTGAGCCATAAGTGAGGTGTTCAGCAGTGTACTATTGGGTTATGTAAGAACAGAAGTCATTAAATTTGGGGTTTAGTGAATTTAATAGCCTTTTATTTATTGGGAGCTTAAACAGGATGTTTCTTTACAGCCTTAACCATCTGTTTCCATGACACTGATAGAGACTGAAATTTATTAATTTTTTTATTTTTCTCTGTCAAATTTGGTTGAAAGTGAAAGCTTCAGCTCTATTCAAGGGGTGTTGGGGTGGTCAGTGTGATCTCAGAAGCCTGGTTTCCTTAGGTAAGTAGGCTAAACAAAGTATATCCTTTTCATTCATACTGCTGTAATTGTTTTTCTGACCCACTGTATTGGATCAAGAGACAATCTGAAGAGTACAGCTTTCTTCCATTTAGCTGTCTGGATGAATATATCATTGTAAGAGGTGTAAATCATTGTAGTTTTTCTCATGGCCTTTTTAAACACACAAACAAACAACAAATCAGTAGGTATACTAATAATGTTTTCATACATATACTTTACTTTCCTTATGAAAGTTTCTTTCAAAACAGTGAATCCATACCCTTTATCTTGATAGTCTGTGAAGACTTAAATGTTTAATTAGTAATCATAGAAATAAATTCTACA